CCAATACCTTGTTGACACGTGTTTCCCCAGCACATGGGGTAAATATTCTGTGGAGATTTCAGTTAGAGGCTCCCACGCGCGCCTATGGTACACGCTCCCATAACTAGGTCGATTATGACTTCCTCGAAGCGATTATCTCACTGGGATCGACTAGCTTGCTCGATCATTATCCTGGTCGAGCGATGGATTGCTCGATCATGAGTCTGGTCGAGTGATGGATTGCTCGATCATGAGTCTGGTCGAGCGATGGATTGCTCGATCATTAGTCTGGTCGTTCTCCTGACTGTTCGATCTTCCCGCCTTTTGGCTCGGCTCCCTCTTGGTTTGACCTTCTCGACCGGCCCAGAAGACCAGTTTAGCTTTATGTATATAATATCCCATATCACGTATGAAGTAACGTAGCTTGGAGAAAAATCTTTTCCTTCCCTAACTACATTAATTACCTATAATTAAATTTTCTCACTTTTATGTATGACCTATTATTAAAATAATAATTAAATTATTCTTTAGAGATAAATAAATAATTATATAAATAATTATGCATAGAGAACTTGCAGTACTCTAATTTTGATGGAAGAATAAATTTTAAAATTATTTGTCATAAGTAAGTAAAAAATGAGAGACAGGGGGAGATATAATATAAAGTTATATTTGTCATAAGTAATGTAATTTATTTGACTAAAAGGGATAAAAATTTTATAAAAGTGAAATAAAAAGTATCATCTACATATATTGAATACTACCATTCATATCCATGTGAAATGTATTGCGAAAATAGTGAGTAACCTCTTTACTTCGACATAACAGTTTAACTGAACTTAGGTTTCTTTTACTAAGATCAATCATGAATATGAAAAAAAAACAAAAGAAAAGAAAAAAATAAGACAACTTAGAATCGAACATAACATCAAATTTTGATTATATTATAGGTAAAAAAAATACATATATTTCAAACTATTATTAAAAAAATAGAAATGACAACATAAATTGAAAGAGTTAGAGGACATCAGAGAGGTGCAACTCATAATTGTCAAACTGAAGAGAAAATTTATATTGATTTTGGTCTGAATTGTTTAACTAAAAAATAAAAAAAAAATATTTAATTTTTTTTGGTTGGTATAAGTTATTTATTTTTTTCAAAATAATGAAGAGGCATTCTATACGATGTGTTTAAACTTTTTGCCATCATTTTAGATTTTTTTATTGGTCCATAATTATAAAATTATAATTTCTGAATAAAAAACATAACAAGTTAATTTATTTTGTTTTTTTATTCGTATATCTATATTGTTTTCATAAGAATAATGGGAAGATATTGTCTTTGTCAAAACATTACGACAAATAAAGTTTCGCACGAAATAGTACAAATACAACAACTATTTTTTTCTTTTTATTTTTTATCATTCATCACAAGTGTTAGCTTTACATTTTATTGTTTTAGTGTTACATATTATAATTTAAGTATTTTATTCTTGTTGCTTTGCAAGAATTATATCATTGTTTATTTCTAACAAAATAAGCTAAATATGGTTCTCATAAAGTTAGCGCAAAATAAGTGTTGGTTATTGATCTGAACATTGAGGGTGACCCATCTTGATCGTTACCTTAATATGATTTATAAATATAAAGAAAAAATAAAATTTGAAAGTATATAAAAAAAACTAATTTGATATATATAGACAATTATATTTTTATTTTTCTACTTTTAGATGGATGTTTATTGTCACAAATTGTATACAAGGTAAAATTTAAATGATTTAGTGCTTGAACATGACATCGAATTTGATTTTATTTGCGAGTAAGAAATGGACTAATACTGCGAAATGATATTGGGAAATAAAAATAATAGTAATAACTAAAAGAGTGAGGGTGTCTCAACCATAAGGGAGACAAAGAGTGATGGACGATATTGACTATATAGACAGAGTAGGACAATGTATATTTATCATTCAATTATTTAATATAATGTTTGGTGTATATGTGGTCTTTTGTAATAGTTTTGGTCCTAAATCATTGAATAATTTGAGCCCAAAATACATAGTTTGTTTATTTATTTTTTTTAGTTGATATCATTTGTTTCATTTGGACTTAAATTTGAGGTCATCTAAAGTACTAAAGTGACTGCGTACAGTTAATCTCTTTGTTGATCCACAATTATGCAACTATAAATTTCGATTAATAAAATTAGCATAATGCGTTAACTATTGCTAATTGTTTGTTATTATTACACATGTTTTTCTCTTAAGATAATTACAAGAATATATTATCGCTACTGAATTTTTGCAATAGATAAAGTTCAATACGACTTACTATAATGTATCAACTACTTTTTCTTATCATATTTTATAGTTGTTAGTGTTATCAAAATAAATTGTACTATTTTATAATTTGTATAATATAATTTAAATGTCATTTTCTCATCATTTGACGAAATTATATGAACTTACATTCCACATGAGTTATGTGGAAAAAATAAGTAATTGGTTATTGACATGAGCATTAACGATTATTGTGCATATTTGTAACTTTACATAAGGTGATCAATCTTGCACGTCATTCTGAGCACCATCGGATTTGTTTTGCAAATAAACGAAGTTAATATTTATTTAGCAAATTATAAAAAGTGAAAGATATGTGGACCTAATTTTAAGGTAAACGCAGGCGCGGTTCAAAATTGAGTCATTTTTGTATTTTTTTTCTTAAGTATTTAATTTATTTTTTTAATTTTAATTGACTCATATTTTGTACATGTTTATTTCAATTATTATATATAGTATTAATGATATCTTTAGTTATTAATGAAAAAAATTATGTCATTATCAAAATATTTTAGGCAAAAATTTCAAGAAGTGTTATCAATGTGACAAATACATTGGATATCACAAATGTTTCTTTAAGTTGAATTTATTTAATTTGAAACTATTTATTACAAAACATGTTGTATTTTATAATCACATCCATTATATGTTTGTTGTTTTTATAGTCACGGACCTCTATTGTCTGATGATTATTATTTTATGATGATAATGGTAATAATGAATACAGTTCATCCACTAATAATGTTATATTTAGGAAAACAGTTTAAAATATAATGAATAAAATTTTCATTTTACTTTTTATTATCTCTCAACATATTTTCTTAATATTATTTATTTATTTAAATAATAATTCATTTCACGTCATGTTTTAATATCAGTTATATATAGTATTAATAATATCTTTAGTTAATAATGAAAAAAATTATGTCATTATCAAAATATTTTAGGCAAAAATTTCAAGGAGTGTTATCAATGTGACAAATACATTGGATATCACAAATGTTTCTTTAAGTTGAATTTATTTAATTTGAATTATTACAAAACATGTTGTATTTTATAATCACATCCATTATATGTTTATTGTTTTTATAGTCACGGACCTCTATTGTCTGATGATTATTATTTTATGATGATAATGGTAATAATGAATACAGTTCAACCACTAATAATGTTATATTTAAGAAAACAGTTTAAAATATAATGAATAAAATTTTCATTTTACTTTTTATTATCTCTCAACATATTTTCTTAATATTATTTATTTATTTAAATAATAATTCATTTCACGTAATGTTTTAATATCAGGCCGCGCAACGCGCGGGTGGCGTACTAGTAAGTTATTACAAGGTAGATAAGGTAAAAATAATGGAGCGAAAGAGAAACCAAAAGGCTGAATATGAGAGTGCCACGTGTCATCTCTAAAAAGAATCTAATGTTTTCTTTTAAGTTATTACTAGTGGGCATGCGGTTGTGCACGCACAGCCGGACTCAATTTTATCTATAATTTAGCGAAAACTATTAGTGTTTAGTAACTGCACAACCAAGTCTAATGTAATCCATAAATAGTTGCACAATTCAGGTATTTAGTACCTGAATTTTATGACTATAATAAGAATAATTGGAACAATGATAGATGTTTATAATGATTGATGCTTGAGGGTAATTTGGCTTTCACAAACATTAACAATTGTACAATTGTCAATGAACTGCCTTCATGTTGTTATGTATTCTGGTCAAGTAGAAGAAACTCCAAACAAAAGCATTGTCGTATCCACGAGACACAACTTGCATGTGAAATATTAACCTGCTCGTCGAACATCAAATGATAAGTATAAAAAAGTAATGGTTGTTGCAACGCGAACAATATATTAAATTTGGTTTACCTTCCTATCAAGCCAACACTTAGTTGAAACGAAATCCGCTCTTTTCAGCTTCATAATGTTTAGAAACTCGTCCCTCGAACACAACACTGCATAAAAAAATATGCAATCACAGTTATAAAAAAGCAGGATCAATAGCCTAAACCCTCTGTCGTGCGAACTAATGACTAATAACATCTACAAACTCAATTAAGTAAGCTTTACATACCTTGTTTGGAGAATCTCCTGGAGGGTTGAGATCCCGACATACAATATGAAGGCAATAACCTTAAAACTCTCCTCAGCATATAACTTCAGAAGCACAACCCTTTTTCTCGTCAAGAACATTTGTTACTTTTCTGTCATCGAAAAATTGGCAACCATTAGATTTAAAGGATTCTATCCATGGCCGGAAAATTTCTCCTACTCAGCCACACCATACGCCAAGTTCATCTCAGCGTATTTAGGTACGATTTGTAACTGTCGGTAGTTATGCTCAGTTAGACCAAGTGTCTGACTGTACATTGATACATTTTTTTTAAGTCTCAAAGCAATATAAACCTATGACTGCATGCTCGTCACAGAACACATGCATACATTTAAGAGAGAATCGCGTACCGTTACGAAAACATAGACGACTCCAGTATAGCAGTGTAATAGACTCAAGTTCTCTGAAAATTTAGTGAAGTTAGATAATATATACTAAACACTTGTTTTTCAGTTTTGTACAGAAGATTAAAGCAGTGGAAATTACCTTGTTAAAAACAGGTCGTATTTACCCTGATTGTACTGCAATGATTATTAAGAAGCTTCGAGCCATCACTCATAATGCTGAGGAGCAGGTTAGGCTACAGAGGAATCAGTAAACTTTTCTTAGAGGCTAGGTTGGAGAAACATCCTGAAAGTTCTGCACTACCTCTCTATGAAATTTTGCATTAGTACTTTTCCCTGAACTCTAAGCAGAGGGAGTTCCCTTACAAAATAAACTATAAAATCCTCATCTCTATCATTTTGCTGTTTTCTCATTGACATGTCACTACTCCATCTCTGATACTTTAATAGTTAAATTAACTCTTCAAAAAATGTTAAAAAGTGTGTTTCAACTCTAAATTTTGACAGCCAGTCTCTGACCCTTGAGTGAGAAATTAAACTGAGATCTCTAATAAATCTTTTTACTTCGATATTCAAGTGTTTCACTTCAACTCCCAACAATTATGCTACACCATCGGCACTGAATAAAATGATCAAATTGCAACGAATGAGAGAAGTATGATATATACCATGTATCATTTAACAGAATGAGTACTTTAGGCGTGTCAAATTTAGCTCCAAGATTGATAAGCTTAGCATGAGCTTCAACATCATCCTTGAGAAATGCATCCTGATCGACAACATATTTCTCTGCATATTCGTCGACATGCAGTTTCGTATAAACTCACAAGCTATAACTTATAAGGGAAGCAATTTGGTGGACAACGTCCATCATTTCACCTTGAGTTAAGGATCCTCGAACAGAACAACATCTGTAGGTAAAACTAACAGTTCTTCATCCCTTTTTTCTTTGATATTCTAAAAGCCAATCATATTCAAGCAACACGGCTCAGCAAATTCAATAGAATAAATATAAAAACCATGAGTGTTAAATCATATAAAGCATTACCTCAAAGTAGGAATTATCAACTTTGGCCACTTAGCTGTCCATGATTGTCCTCTAGGGGATCTTGTCCATCTCTCTGCCTCATGCAAACAATTTAGTAGTTACTTCATTTAATTCAATGTACATATGTGGACAACCAAAACATGATATAATGAAAATCAGATAGGCAAAATAGACTCTAGTTTTCTATTATTCTGGAATATCTTAATTTCACAAATCTATAGTTCCTCAAGTCCTTTTGAGGAACTAAAGCAATGCAGTACTTTACATAGAAGAGTCCTCCAAAATTTATGGAAAATTTGTAGATCATCTTGAGCCACAAATTCAGCATTCATCTTTTTCTAATTATCTGTATAATCTTACAAGAGTCTCACTCCATATATCCTATTATAGATTTACAAATAAGAATCCTGAAACATTTTACTCCTTGACCATTCATATCCTCCATCCTCATATCCAATTTACATCGGGACCAAAAAGCATGCTTGCACACAGATTGTTTACCTCAGTATTTTATTCCCTTTCAGGTCAAAAAGCAATGAAATTAAAAGAATTTTGGTATATACATCTCCATGTCTAGAAAATTCAGTATTCGACAACATTAACTTCATAGTTCATAGCCATATGAGTATTCACTTACCATCAGACTGAAATTGAGTCACTAAGTGTTCATCGACGGGCCCAACTCATCATTCATACAGGCATATTTTTAAGTTAGGAGTCATTCCAAGTAATCAAATTCAAGCCAGTGAAAGGAAAAACCCTAAACCCTAACCCTAAACCCTAAAACATAAACCCTAACATTCAAACTAATGATTCTTGGCTATTCATATTTACATAACTGCAAAAAATCCATATATGTTTATATTTGGCAATGGCATTATGACAATTTGTTGGTTTGAATATAAAATTGATAGACATGAACATTGACTATTATACAGGAAAATGAAGGAAAAAAAAAAAAATGAACTTGGATTCTAGGTTCTACCTGTCAAGTTATGTTGATGCAGTCACCATCAAGTGGTACACCAAGTCGAACTTTCACCTCACAAATAGCATGTTTATCAAGAACCTTATATGGATTATATTACTGAATTTGGAAGGGAAAATAACAGGAGAAGAAAAAAAAGAATACAACTACTCCACTTACTTTATAGGGTTTGGAGTGCTGAAAGGTACCGAAGTGAGATGATTCGACTTGGAATGAAGCTTTGAATCAATTATACTTGAGCAATCTGTTGTAGGTGTTGGGGCCTCACTAACGCATTTGTCTCGCACGCTGAGTAGCTTATCTTCCTGCATACGTTGATCCATAGAATTAGATTTTGACATGTGCAAACTCAAAAGTTTGTCTGCATCTTTCTTGTTCATCCTCATCTACTCATCTGAGACATTTCGCTAGGCTGTACTATCTTCGCCATGCAAATAGGAAAAAGGCTTAATCCATTTCTCATTGTCAACATCTACAATAGTGGATTATGTTAGGTCACAAGATGTTACTCTGTACGAACATATTACACGCCACATATGACATATGAGCTTCTAATGGGGAAAGAGAGAATGACCTTGTCCTCAGCTTTTAAAGCATTTTCTTTCATATTGATAATGGTATTTTATGATAGTGTCCAAGAGGCGACACACTATTATATTGTTAGTCTCTAAAGCGTCATTATATTAAATAAAAAATGCCATAGTATTTACAAAAGTTCATATTAGACAGAGAAATCTGCTTCAATTTGAAGGAACTCGGGATTGCTGTGGCGGACCTTTCTAAAGCATCAGGTTTGTAGTTTTTGCAAGTAAAAGTCCTTTAAAGGCAAGAATAAAAAAATATAAACACATAGTCTGGAAAAAAATATTGCACACAAGATTGTGGAAAAAGATACAAAACTCTATCATAAAACACCACTAAAAAAAATAAATTTTTAGATCAGCTAAGTTAAATCATGAGAGACAAAACAATAATTATTTGTTGTTTGTTTTCTCCTAAATTCAAGTTTTGATAATGACCTCAACAACACATAATACACAACCTAGCAAAGATCCTGCAGTAGCCAGCTTCAATCAACTATAGCCTGCAAAAGAAAAATATACATGTAAGTTCAACGATTTTTCTTTAGTCAACTATTTCTATTTTGTAAAACCAAGATTCTTAGAGAAGTTCAATGCTTACCTTTTCAAAAAGTATCTGAATATGAAATTTCCATGGCATCTCTCTTGTGATGAACCTCATTGACTCAGACATTATATCAGTAACAAATGTTATTAGAAATGACAAATCAACTCGGTGTTGGAGTACAAGCCCGTCCAAATGATGCTTAGCCAGAAGATTGGGAACTCGTCCAATTTATCAACTCAAATTCTGCACCTCTCGATAATCCGTCGCAACGAACATGACCTTTAAAATTTTTCGAAACATATGGGTCCTCCTGCTTGTTGTGCATACCCGGAAGTTGCACGTCAGTCAAAAATACAAAATAATAAGTTTAGTTGAATATAGATTTAATATCATATTTACGATCATATAAACAAATAATACAATAAAACAATATTGGAACACAAGAGCGACATGGTTTTACCTCCAAGTGCCCCAGTTAGGCCAAATGGGCAAAGCTCTACAGCCAGCCCAAAGGAATCACGTCGTTACCTCAATTCGCAACACTGATTATTTCATAACTAATTTGTTATGGGTTTACTTAATTATGTAATATTATGCTGTAATTTGAGCTTGTAAGTAACAGAAATGGGGGAAAATTAAGATAGAAGAAGGAGGAAGATGAGTAAGAGAGAGAGAGAGAGAGAGAGAGATTTTGATGATTCCAAATTCTGTTTTTCCATTACTGCAAACATGCTCTTTTACATAACAACTCGTGGGGACCATATAATTTCCCACTTAATTCCCAATATGCCCTAATGTGATACTTAAAGTAAAGAAAGAACAATAAAATAGTAATATTGGGCCATACTATGGGCCATTACAGACAATTCACTAAATAACTTTTCTTCTTGGGCCTGGCATTTTTAAATGATCCTCTCACGGCCCAATTTTGCTTGGCCCGATAATTCTTCTGAATTAGAATCTCCATCTCCTTTGACTTGTTCGATTTTATCGATGAACAAAGCACCGTCACCTCCATCTCCGGCCATAACAATACCCCGGGTTGAGTTGATCCTTGTCCGCAAGGATCGAAAGATGGAAACTTTTTTCTGATACACCTCTCATCTTCCCAAGTCGCGGTCTCTTTGTCTCCATTCAACCACTGAACCAAAACCCTAGAAACTGAAAGCCCCTTTCTTTCAATTTGTTTTTCGATCCAACACCTGTAAAGGGAAGATCTTGAAGATTCCATCTGCATCAGTGAGAGGGAGATCTGAAGAAACCGATGGGTCTGGTCCCAGCTTCAGCTTGAGGAGCGAAACATGGAATACGGGATGGATGCGTGACTCCGGCGGAAGAGCTAGACGGTAAGCCACTGCCCCTATTTTCTCAGTGATGGTGTAAGGGCCATAAAATTTAGCTGATAGCTTAAGATTTCGGCGCAAATAAACTGAATTTTGGCGAAAAGGTTGTAATTTGAGGAAAACCTTGTCGCCCACATTGAAATTTTTCTCTTGTCTGTGCTTATCTGCTTGCATTTTCATTCTTTGCTGTGCTTGTATGAGATTCTCTCTGAGAATTTGAATGGTCCTCTGCTTGTCTTGCACCAACTCCTCTTGTACCCCATACTCTGGTTGTAAGTAGGAAGTGATTGAAAACATAGGAGGTTGGTACCCATAAAGAGCCTGAAAAGGAGTAGTTTTTAAGCTTGTGTGATAATTGGTGTTGTACCACAGCTCAGCTAGGGATAACCATTTGTGCCATTGCTTAGGGTTTAAGTGTACCATGCACCTGAGGTAATTCTCAAGGCATTGGTTTACTCTTTCTGTTTGGCCATCAGTTTGATTGAGGATGGTAAGCAGATGAAAACTGAAGTTGAACCCCCATCAACTTAAATAGTTCTTTCCAGAAAGAGCTTGTAAAGATTTTGTCCCTATCAGAAATGATGCTCTCTGGTAGGCCATGAAGCTTGTAGATGTGGTCTAGGAATGTCTTAGCCACTGTTGGTGCAGTGAATGGGTGAGACATAGCTATGAAGTGTGAGTATTTAGTAAACCTGTCAACAACCACAAATATCACATCCTTCCCATTGGATTTAGGAAGCCCTTCAATGAAATCCATGGCAACATGGGTCCATGCTTGTCTTGGAACTGGTAGGGGTTGTAGCAAGCCCTGGTAGCTAGTTTTGTCAGATTTGTTCCTCTGACACACATCACACTCCTTAACTTTCTTTTGAACATCCAACTTCATTGAAGGCCAGTAAAAAACAGATTTTAGCCTTTGGTAAGTGCCATGTACCCCTGAGTGACCCCCATAAGCTGAATCATGCATAGCTGTCATAATGGATTCCCTAAAATTTAGGTTGTTCCCAACCCCAATTCTTCCTTTATATCTGATAATTCCTTTTGAGAGGGAAAACCCAGGATAAGAGTCAGGTTTCACAGATAAGGCAGTCACTAACTTAGTGAAATAAACATCTCCTTGATAGCTTTGAATGACATCCTCCAACCAGCCTGGTACCAATGTGGAAAGGGCTGTGCATTCTTCCTCAGGTATCCTGGATAAAGCATCAACAGCTTTATTTTCCAGCCCCTTTTTGTACTGGATTTTATAATCCAACCCCAGTAGCTTGGTGATCCACTTTTGTTGAAGGGGAGTGGTCATTT